CAAAAAAGCAAATATACTCATACAAGATTAACCTAAAGTGGGACAATGAACGAAATATATAAAAACAACAACAACAATAATATATAGCAGAAAAAAATTTCCTAAAAGAGAAAAAATATCATAAAAAATAGTAACAGTATTAAATGTAGGTAAAAGAAACCGATCAACGACAGACAGACGTACGTACGTACCCAACGAGATACAACATGCAAAGAAAACCAACCTTTAGTTACATAGATTTATAAAAAGTATGAGAAAATGAAAAATGTTTTGTTAATTTAGTTAAATTAGTTAACAAAAAAAAAAGAGAAGAAAAAAAATACAGTAAAAAGACTTGATTATTGGCGACGACACTACCATCACAATAACTACTTAGTATTGAAGTAAACTGAACATGGAATTAAATGCATTTAAATGAAAAGAAAGTTTCAATGTTGGTTAAGTGATAAAAGTAATTTCGTTGTAAAATTACTTTTCGAACAAACATTGTTGTCATAAAATGCCTTTTTCCTATTACCAGCCAAACTCTGTTAGAGTTTATGCAGTTTTCTCCTGAGAAAGCTGACCAAACTATTAAATATTTTCATTATAACTAAAAGATATTTAAAAGTTTCTTTAGTAAGCTTTGCATTAAAGAAAAGTTTCTTTGTATAACTTTTTGTTAAAGGAAATGTTCTTTATAAACTTTTATTAGAAATTCTTTCTTTAATGAAACATTTCCTTTCCGATATTGAAGAGCTTTTTTTTTAAATTTTAGATATTAAAACTTTTTATTAGAAAATATATTGAACAATTTCTTTAAAAAGCTTGGCATTAAAGAACACTTTTTTTTTTGATAACTTTTGTTAATGAAAAGTTTCTTTAGAAAGCCTTTCAATATTAAACTTTTATTAGAAAGCTTTTCTTTAATGAAAAATTTCTTTACAAAAGCTTTTCGATATTGAAAAGTTTTTTAGAAAATCTTCCTTAGAATATAGTTTCATTTGAAGAGCTTTTGATATTGAAGAGTTTTTTTAGAAAAGCTATTCGTTATTGAAATGTTAGTGAACTTTTGTTAATGAAAAGTTACATTCGAAAATTGAAAAAAAAAACTTTAGAAAAGCTTTCGGATATTTAAAAACTTTTTAACTATTCTATAATGGAAAGTTAATGAAAAGTTTCTTTTTTAATGCAAAATTTCTTTAAAAAAACTTTTCGATATTGAAAATTGGAATACTTTTTAGAAAACTATTGCATAATGGAAAGTTTATGAAAAGTTTCTTTAGAAAACTTTCTAGAAAAACTTTTCGATATTGAAAATCCTGTTTAAAAACTTTTACATAATAAAACTTTTTATTAGAAAAGCTTTTCGATATTATAAATTTGTTTAAAATAGCTTTTAGATATTAAACAGTTCTTTTTGAAAAGCTATCGTTATTGAAACGTTTAGAAAACTTTCGTTATTTAAAAGTTTCATTCGAAAAATTAAAAAAAAATCTTTAGAAAAGCTTTTGGAAATTTAAAGACTTTTCAGAAAACTTTTCCATAATAAAAAGCTTATTTAAACACATTCATTAAAGAATATTTTCTTTAGACAACTTTTGGTTAATGAAAAGTTTATTTAGAAAACTTTAATGGAAAAGCTTTACGTTAATGAACAGTTTCTTTAGAAAACATTTTGTAAATAAAAAAAATCTTTTATTAAACTGTGGTTTGTTTAAAAAATTTCACTAAAAAGAAGGAAACGTTTTGTAAAGAAGCTTTTCGATATAAAATAATTTCACTAGAAAAGCTTTCGATATTGAAAAGTTGTTAAGAAAACTATTCGTTTTTGAAAAGAACTTTGATTCATGAAAAGTTTCTTTAGAAAATTTTTTAAAAATATCTTTAGAAAAGCTTTTTGATATTGAAAAGTGTCGTTAAAGGAAATTTCTTTAGTAAACTTTAGGTTAATGACAATTTTAGACAACTTTTTAATTTGTCGAAATGTTTCTTTGGAAAACTCTTCGTTAATGAAATGATTCTTTAGAAAACTTTTTATAAATGAAAATATAATTTATAAAACTTTTCTTAAAAGAGCTTCTGAATATTGAAAATTTCATTAAAAAATTTGATATTTTCTTTAAAAAAGCTCTTCATTAATGAAGTTTCTTTAGTAAAGCTTTTCGTTACTTAAAAGTTTATTTAAAAAAAGCATTTCGATCTTTAACTAAGCTTTTTGTTAAAAAAAAATATTTTAGAAAGCTTATAGTTAATAAAAAGTTAATTTAGAAAGCTCATAGTCAATGAAAAGATTTTTTAGAAAAGTGTTTCCTTAGTGACAAGTTTATTTTAAATTTTTTTTTTTTTAAGCTTTTCGTTTATGACATTTAGTTTAGAAAAGCTTTAAAAATATAGTATAAAAATTTTTGTTAATAAAAACTTTATTTAAAAAGCTTTTTATTGAAGTTTCTTCATAGAACTTTTGTTAATGTAAAGAAAGGCTTTTAGTTAAAAAAGTTTCTTTAGAAAAGCTTTATAAAAACTTTCTAGAAATCTCTTTGTTAAGGTAAAACTTTTCGTTAATGTAAAGTTTCTTTAAAAAAGCTTTTCGTTAATAAATAGTTATTTCAGAAAGCTTATAGTTAAGAAAGCTCTTCCTGAAAAAAACTTTATATAAAACTCTTCATCTTCAGAAAAGATTTCCTTAATAAAAATTTTTTGAAAAAGCTTTTTGTTAAAGTAAAAAATCTTTAGAAAAGCTTATTTAGAAAGCTTTTCGTAAAAAAATCGAAAATTATCCAATATTTACATTTTTCTTTCCCTCTATTACAGAGTCTCAATGTCCGCGATGCAGTACGTGATTGTTTAGAGAAAGATCCCTCAGAGCGTACCGAAGAAGATGTTGAAATACTATTGGAATTTACACAAGGTCTTAAGGCCTTTACAAATATCACACTGGCCGTACGGCGAGCTCTATGCTCGGTTATGGTATTTGCCGTCGTCGATAAGGCGGGCACTGTCGTTATGTCCGATGGTGAAGAGCTTGATTCTTGGTCTGTGCTAATCAATGGTGTCGTCGAAATCGAACATGCCAATGGTGAACGTGAAGAGTTACAAGTGGGTGACTCATTTGGTATTCTACCCACAATGGATAAATTGTATCATAAGGGTGTTATGCGTACGAAATGTGATGATTGTCAATTTGTGTGTATAACACAAACGGATTATTATCGTATACAACATCAGGGTGAGGAGAATATTAGACGTCATGAAGATGAGGAGGGTCGAGTGGTTATGGTTACTGAGTTAAGACAAATAGGTACAAATGATGCTCCCGGAACGGCGTCAAATAATTCAGCTACGGCTGGCACTAATGCCAAACGGGGTCATGTTGTAATTAGAGGTTCACCGGAACGTTTGTTGCAGCAATTGGTAGAGGAAAATTCCATGACAGATCCCTTTTATGTGGAAGATTTCCTATTGACTCATAGAATTTTTATAAAAAATTCCCAAGAGGTTACAGACAAACTGCTATCATGGTTTGAGGCCGATGCTAATGGCGCTGAAACGGTGCCCAAATTTGCCAGTCATGCTACGGCTCAAGAAATCAGAGATCGTGTTACCCGTGTGGTATTATTATGGGTAAATAATCATTTTACCGATTTTGAGGCTGATCATGAAATGATGGAATTTTTGGAAATATTTGAGGCTGGTCTAGAACGCAAGAAATTGTTGAGTCAACTGCGATTACTGCACATAGCCTGTGCTGCTAAGGCACGAATGAGATCTTGCATTTTGGCACGTAGCTCTAGAGATGAGTCGTTAAATTTCAAAATTATAGGAGGCTATGAAATGAGAGGGGCCTGTGTGGCTACAGGCGGTTGTGGCATTTATATATCACATGTAGAAAGAGCCTCTAAGGCTCAAGAAGCAGGCTTAAAGCGCGGCGACCAAATACACGAAGTTAATGGCCAAAGTTTTGAACATGTTACCAGCAAACGGGCTTTGGAAATACTAATGGGTAGCACCCACTTAAGTATCACTGTAAAAAGCAATCTTTTAGGTTTCAAAGAAATGATGCAGGCTGTTGAGTTAACCGCCAATGGTGGCATAAATTCTGCCAATGGCAATGTGGCGGGCTTGGGTTCTAAATCCTTAAGAAGTCCTAGACGCATTTGTGCCAACGATGTGGCTAAACTGCATGGCAGAGCAGACTCGACTACAGATGAACTAACGGCGGCAGCCACTAATCGTGCTCATATTGTAAGATTAAGTTCGGTGGATATGCTGTTACACTCTTCACCAGGAGAAGATCAAACCGATAGAGGTGTACAAAGCCCGGGTACACCCATACAGACGCCGTCTTCCGGCAATATGGCTTCAAATTTTATGAATAATCTTTTACAAAGTGTTAATGCTTCCGGCAAAAAGGATTCAAATGGTTTGCAGGGCGACTCCAAGGGAGGAGGTTTTATGACTTTGGCTCCCAAGAGAAGGCTGAAAATAGCCTTGGCCAAAATGAATTTGCTGCATAAAAATGTTACGGGTCTACAGGCCTCTAATCTTAATGATTCCAGCGATGCTTTGCTAAATGTGGGTTGTAATGAAAAACAAAAATCGGGCTCTTTAAGCAGTGCTAGTTCTTCTTCACATGGACCCGGTAGACTTTATCAATCACAGTCAAATCCTGATTTAACCTCTCTACAGTATGAAGATGCCTCAGCACCTAATAACAACATTTTGAACATATGCAATCCAGGCAATTATCTCTCGGCCTCTGTGCACCGACCCTCTGCTGTCTCCACCACCGGCAGTTTAGTACCCGATTATCCGGAACATGTACTCAAAGTATTTAAAGCTGATCAAACTTGTAAATATTTACTTATTAACAAAGAAACCACCGCCCATGAGGTGGTTATGTTGGCGCTACAGGAATTCGGCATCCATGATCCCAGCTCGAACTTTTCCTTGTGTGAGGTTAGTGTAGGTGAAGGCGGTATGGTTAAACAGCGTAGATTACCTGATCAATTGCAGAATTTAGCTGAACGCATAGGTTTTGCCTCTCGCTATTATTTGAAAACCAATGGCATATCCGAAACTTTGGTACCCGATGAGTTGGCCTTGGAATTGGTAAGAGAATCGAATGTCCATTTCCTACAACTCAATGCCTATGAGTTGGCTATACAATTGACTTTGCAAGACTTTAGCATATTCCGTCAAATTGAATCTACCGAATATGTGGATGATCTTTTCAATTTAAAAACCAAATACGGTGTGCCCATGTTAAGTAAATTCTCGGAATTGGTTAATCGTGAAATGTTCTGGGTGGTCACTGAAATCTGTGGTGAACACAATATTGTAAGACGCATGAAAATTGTCAAACAATTTATCAAAATTGCCCGCCACTGTAAAGAATGTCGTAATTTCAATTCTATGTTTGCCATTATTTCCGGTCTGGGACACGCTGCTGTTTCGCGCTTAAGGCAAACCTGGGAGAAATTGCCCTCAAAATATCAAAGACTATTCTCAGATCTACAAGATCTTATGGATCCCTCACGCAATATGTCCAAATACCGGCAATTGGTTTCTTCGGAATTGCTCAATCAACATCCCATTTTACCCTTCTATCCCATAGTACGCAAAGATTTAACATTTATACATTTGGGTAATGATACTATGGTAGAGGATTTAATTAATTTCGAAAAACTACGTATGATAGCCAAAGAGGTGCGTCTACTCTCGCACATGTGTTCCTCTCCCTATGATTTATTAGCCATATTGGAACTTAAGGGGCAATCCCCCTCCAATGCTATGTTTTCTTTAAATCAAATGTCTACATCACAGGGTGGTTCTAATCAGGGACCCACCATAATAGCGGCTAATGCTGGTAATGCCACCATTAAAAGAAGGAAAAAATCAACGGCCGCCCCCAATCCTAAGAAAATGTTTGAAGAGGCTCAAATGGTTAGACGGGTGAAAGCGTATCTCAACAATTTGAAAATTATTAATGATGAAGATATTTTACATAAATTCTCGCTGGAATGTGAACCAGCCCACACTTCCTCTAACTCCACCTCCTCGCAACACGGTGGCAATTCTTCACGCACTGGAGGAGATCAATTAAGCATTTATTCTCATACTTCCAACTCATCATCAGCACCGAATTCTTCGTTATCTTTGAGAAGAAGACATCCCTCGTCACCTACACTATCGACCACCTCCTCTACCTCTTCAACTAGTGACAATCGTCGCAATAATATGAATCCAAATTGTCCAAAATTTGGCACCGCCTCACCGCAAGCGGTACGTAAGATATTATCGTTATCGGAATCTACTAAAATACGACCTCATCAACCCTTTCCCAGGCCGGCAGCTACTTTGCCTGGAAACATACCGCTTCTGGCGCAACCTCATCATTTACACAGTCATGGTTTTAATCCAGCAGCCTCAGCAGCTTTGGCGGCGGCCTCAACCCCGACTCCAAGTCCTTGCTCGCATAGACGTCTAGCTTCCGGTAGTAATTCTATGCCAGGTACGTTTTTTAACTCGGAACTGTGGTCTATAGACTGAACTATAGACTAGACTATAGACTAGACTATAGACTAGACTATAGACTAGACTATAGACTAGACTATAGACTAGACTATAGACTAGACTATAGACTAGACTACGGACTAGACTATGGACTAGACTATAGACTAGACTATAGACTAGACTACGGACTAGACTATGGACTAGACTATAGACTAGACTATAGACTAGACTATAGACTAGACTATAGAGACTATAGACTGGACTATAGACTAGACTATAGACTAGACTATAGACTAGATATAGATAGACTATAGACTAGACTATAGACTAGACTATAGACTAGACTATAGACTAGACTATAGACTAGACTATAGACTAGACTATAGACTAGACTATAGACTAGACTATAGACTAGACTATAGACTAGACTATAGACTAGACTATAGACTAGACTATAGACTAGACTATAGACTAGACTATAGACTAGACTATAGACTAGACTATAGACTAGACTATAGACTAGACTATAGACTAGACTATAGACTAGACTATAGACTATACTATAGACTAGACTATAGACTAGACTATAGACTAGACTATAGACTAGACTATAGACTAGATTATAGACTAGACTATAGACTAGACTATAGACTAGACTATAGACTAGACTATAGACTAGACTATAGACTAGACTATAGACTAGACTATAGACTAGACTATAGACTAGACTATAGACTAGACTATAGACTAGACTATAGACTAGACTATAGACTAGACTATAGACTAGACTATAGACTAGACTATAGACTAGACTATAGACTAGACTATAGACTAGACTATAGACTAGACTATAGACTAGACTATAGACTAAACTATAGACTAGACTATAGACTAGACTATAGACTAGACTATAGACTAGACTATAGACTAGACTATAGACTAGACTATAGACTAGACTATAGACTAGACTATAGACTAGACTATAGACTAGACTATAGACTAGACTATAGACTAGACTATAGACTAGACTATAGACTAGACTATAGACTAGACTATAGACTAGACTATGGACTAGACTACGGACTAGACTATAGACTAGACTATAGACTAGACTATAGACTATACTAGACTATAGACTATACTAGACTATAGACTATACTAGACTATAGACTAGACTATAGACTAGACTATAGACTAGACTATAGACTAGACTATAGACTAGACTATAGACTAGACTATAGACTAGACTATAGACTAGACTATAGACTAGACTATAGACTAGACTATAGACTAGACTATAGACTAGACTATAGACTAGACTATAGACTAGACTATAGACTAGACTATAGACTAGACTATAGACTAGACTATAGACTAGACTATAGACTAGACTATAGACTAGACTATAGACTAGACTATAGACTAGACTATAGACTAGACTATAGACTAGACTATAGACTAGACTATAGAGTAGACTATAGACTGGACTATAGACTAGACTATAGACTAGACTATAGACTAGACTATAGACTAGACTAGACTATAGACTAGACTATAGACTAGACTAGACTATAGACTAGACTAGACTATAGACTAGACTATAGACTAGACTATAGACTAGACTATAGACTAGACTATAGACTAGACTATAGACTAGACTATAGACTAGACTATAGACTAGACTATAGACTAGACTATAGACTATACTATAGACTAGACTATAGACTAGACTATAGACTAGACTATAGACTAGACTAGACTATAGACTAGACTATAGACTAGACTATAGACTAGACTATAGACTAGACTATAGACTAGATAGACTAGACTATAGACTAGACTATAGACTAGACTATAGACTAGACTATAGACTAGACTATAGACTAGACTAGACTATAGACTAGACTATAGACTAGACTATAGACTAGACTATAGACTAGACTAGACTATAGACTAGACTATAGACTAGACTATAGACTAGACTATAGACTAGACTATAGAGCTAGACTATAGACTAGACTATAGACTAGACTATAGACTAGACTATAGACTAGACTATAGACTAGACTATAGACTAGACTATAGACTAGACTATAGACTAGACTATAGACTAGACTATAGACTAGACTATAGACTAGACTATAGACTAGACTATAGACTAGACTATAGACTAGACTATAGACTAGACTATAGACTAGAGACTAGACTATAGACTAGACTATAGACTAGACTATAGACTAGACTATAGACTAGACTATAGACTAGACTATAGACTAGACTACAGACTAGACTATAGACTAGACTATCGACTAGACTATAGACTAGACTATCGACTAGACTATAGACTAGACTATAGACTAGACTATAGAATAGACTATAGACTAGACTATAGAATAGACTATAGACTAGACTATAAACTAGACTATAAACTAGACTATAAACTAGACTATAAACTAGACTATAAACTAGACTATAAACTAGACTATAAACTAGACTATAGACTAGACTTCCCTTTTTATGTTGACATTACAACTAATATAACTTTTTCACCTTTTTTCGCATTTAGCTTCTATGATCCCTCCTCCACGCTCTATACACGAACGTTCTCATTCTGATACTCCAGCTCCACCACCCCCTTTGCCTTCGGTGGATTTAAATTTAGAAAGTAGTAGTGTTACCACATTTCGTGATTTACCTTTAAGGAAATCTGTTACCTCTGGTAAGTAGTCTCAAATATTTATCATTATTTTTAAAGTAGTTTTTATATTATTATTTCATATCATTTGCTCGTTATATGAAAAGTAGTTTAGTTTCATTTTTTAGGCTTACTAACTTTTTGTTTTCTCTATTATACATATTTTAAATTAATTTTGTTTATTTAGCTAAACATCTCTTTCGTAGTTGTTGTTTTTTTTTTTTCATTTGTTTCACTCGTATATGCTAAAGGGAAACGGTTTATGAACTTTATTTGTTTATTTTAATAACATATAAAAATAGTAGTTTTATTTATTATATGCTATAATTAAACGGTCTAAAGTTGAGTGTGCTGTGCTTTATTAGCTGACATTCAAAAGTCAATAGCTGTAGAGTGAGATAAACATACACGTTTTTCAATAATTACTGCCAGAGCTAAGTAGCTATTTTAAAAGAGTTTGTCAGAGGTTTATTTTTGGGTGTAATGTTTAAAGGTCTTAACAGTGTCTGCTTTTAAAATCATTAAGTGTTTAATAAAAAGTTTAAATAGTTTTAATTGATCTTATAAAGTCTATGTCACATGTTTGTAACATAATTTTACTTTCAACTAATTAGATTAACCGCAATGGTTTTTCTAAATAATATGAGATCATTCTAAATCATATAACAAAAGACGAAGACTATATTCAGCATATTTGTAACAAAGCGACAACAATAAGTTGAACAATGCATTTATTATAAACGTTCTGAACTAACTAGTTGTAAGACATGGTTCGAACCTTCAACTGAATAGAAGGCAGTAGGTTAAAAACACTCATTGTTACCAATATGAGGATATTGAACTGCAACTTAGATAAAACTGCACTAGAACTAAACTGAAGTAGATCTAAACTGAACTAGAACTAAACTGAACTAGAACTAAACTGAAACTGAACTAGAACTGAACTAGAACTGAACTAGATCTAAACTAGAACTGAACTAGAACTGAACTAGAACTGAACTAGAACTGAACTAGAACTGAACTAGAACTGAACTAGAACTAAACTGAAACTGAACTAGAACTGAACTAGAACTGAACTAGATCTAAACTAGAACTGAACTAGAACTGAACTAGAACTGAACTAGAACTGAACTAGAACTGAACTAGAACTGAACTAGAACTGAACTAGAACTGAACTAGAACTGAACTAGAACTGAACTAGAACTGAACTAGAACTGAACTAGAACTGAACTAGAACTGAACTAGAACTGAACTAGAACTGAACTAGAACTGAACTAGAACTGAACTAGAACTGAACTAGAACTGAACTAGAACTGAACTAGAACTGAACTAGAACTGAACTAGAACTGAACTAGAACTGAACTAGAACTGAACTAGAACTGAACTAGAACTGAACTAGAACTGAACTAGAACTGAACTAGAACTGAACTAGAACTGAACTAGAACTGAACTAGAACTGAACTAGAACTGAACTAGAACTGAACTAGAACTGAACTAGAACTGAACTAGAACTGAACTAGAACTGAACTAGAACTGAACTAGAACTGAACTAGAACTGAACTAGAACTGAACTAGAACTGAACTAGAACTGAACTAGAACTGAACTAGAACTGAACTAGAACTGAACTAGAACTGAACTAGAACTGAACTAGAACTGAACTAGAACTGAACTAGAACTGAACTAGAACTGAACTAGAACTGAACTAGAACTGAACTAGAACTGAACAAGAACTGAACTAGAACTGAACTAGAACTGAACTAGAACTGAACTAGAACTGAACTAGAACTGAACTAGAACTGAACTAGAACTGAACTAGAAATGACTAGAACTGAACTAGAACTGAACTAGAACTGAACTAGAAAACTGAACTAGAGACTGAAACTAAGAACTGAACTAGAACTGAACTAGAACTGAACTAGAACTAACTAGAACTGAAGTAGAACTGAACTAGAACTGAACTAGAACGAACTAGAACTGAACTAGAACTGAACTATACCTGAACGAGAAGCTGAATTAGAACTGAACTAGAACGAACTAGAACTGAACTAGAACTGAACTAGAACTGAACTAGAAACTGAACTAGAACTGAACTAGAACTGAACTAGAACTGAACTAGAACTGAACTAGAACTGAAGCTAGAACTGAACTAGAACTGAACTAGAACTGAACTAGAACTGAACTAGAACTGAACTAGAACTGAACTAGAACTGAACTAGAACTAGAACTAGAACTGAACTAGAACTGAACTAGAACTGAACTAGAACTGAACTAGAACTGAACTAGAACTGAACTAGAACTGAACTAGAACTGAACTAGAACTGAACTAGAACTGAACTAGAACTGGACGACTGACTTGAACAAAACTAAACGATAGATGATATATTACATGATAAATTGGTATTGCTTTGTGAATTAAATAAATTGACTATTTCAAGCGTTAATTCTTATCATTTTACATTATTCCAGAACAGACCTTACTTTACCTTAAATTTAAAATTAAGTTATTCGATAAATAAATAAATTTAAGTAGTAATTTGCATTTTATATAATAAGTTTTACAAATCTCAAAATTTCTTTAATAATATTAGTCTTGATAAATTATATAAATATATAGATAATATCTAAAAAAATCTGAAATTCTAACTTACAAAATTATGCATATTGGAATGGCTTTGGTTGGTAGTAGCAAACAAAAAACTCAAAATTTTACTGCCTTAAGATACTGCTATGGTATTGCTATATGAAAAAAAAAAACTATAGTTTGTCTTACTCTCTAATGGTGTGGTGCTAACTTTAAAACTTCACAAAACTAAATATGTTTTTCTCAACACTTTTCTTCTATTTTATAACTTTATTACTCTACTCTCTTAAACAACAACTGTCACTCTACTTAACACACACAAATATTGCACCCTATTGCAAATGGTTTAATGCAATGTATTTGTACAACAAAAACTAAAACACTAAAAAATAACATTTTGTAATGTTGCGGTTGAAAAACAAGTAGTAGATGAAGATTATCAATTGATACAAATTGATTGTACAAATTTACGATTTTTCGAATTTCTTCCCAAATGTGTACGTATAGGATCGGTATCGTCCAATGATAGTGGACTCTGTTCTTATGCCCAACATGATACAAGCTCTTCATCATCTGTCTATACGGCGGCCGATTGTCGTTTATTACAACAGATTTCCAATACGGCTGCAACACGCAATATAAATACTCAATGTAGTCAAAGAGCTTTATCACCACATACCTTACACCCAGCAACAACAACAGTTACACAAACTGCAAATAGTATGAATGCACTACCACTGCCACAAACACAATCACAACAACAGCAACAATTACCACCACCAACATTGACCCCTCCACCTTACTTAATGCGTGGTCAAAATTTACAAATGTTTATGACAAACGGTGGCAATAATGCTGTTAATGGTGGAACACATGCACCACCGCCACAACTTCTACATAATAGACCGTTGTCGCCACCATTACAGCAGCCAAATATGCCACCTCCATATGCCACAGCGGCCGCTATGTTACATCATAATCATAGACATTCCAATATGCATGGTAAGTTTTGAGAGGTTGGAGGACATAGCATTACCATTTTTTTCGGGGTAACAGGACAACAGAGTTATTTGGTGTAAACATAAAGATCAATAAAAGGTATTTTCAAAGGAATTCATATTTTTCTTCTTTTGGTATTTTTTGTTTTAGTTTTAAGGGTTTGATATTTGTTAATTATGTTAAATACTAGTTGAAACCAATCCGTGTTAACGGCCCTATTACTCTACTTATAGTGATCCAAATTTTAAAGTCGTTGGTCCAGCGGTTTATGGGTAAATTTGTGTCTCGCGCTAATTGAAAACATTACATGAGTTCTAGTTCAGTTCTAGTTCAGTTCTAGTTCAGTTCTAGTTCAGTTCTAGTTCAGTTCTAGTTCAGTTCTAGTTCAGTTCTAGTTCAGTTCTAGTTCAGTTCTAGTTCAGTTCTAGTTCAGTTCTAGTTCAGTTCTAGTTCAGTTCTAGTTCAGTTTTAGTTCAGTTCTATTTCAGTTCTAATTCAGTTCTAGTTCAGTTCTAGTTCAGTTTTAGTTCAGTTCTAGTTCAGTTCTAGTTCAGTTCTAGTTCAGTTCTAGTTCAGTTCTAGTTCAGTTCTAGTTCAGTTCTAGTTCAGTTCTAGTTCAGTTCTAGTTCAGTTCTAGTTCAGTTCTAGTTCAGTTCTAGTTCAGTTCTAGTTCAGTTCTAGTTCAGTTCTAGTTCAGTTCTAGTTCAGTTCTAATTCAGTTCTAGTTCAGTTCTAGTTCAGTTCTAGTTCAGTTCTAGTTCAATTCTAGTTCAGTTCTATTTCAGTTCTAGTTCAGTTCTAGTCCGGTTCTGTTATTTTTTCGCCAAAAATTTCACCAATAATTAATATTTTCACTAAAAGTCCAATTTTCACTAAAAATTTAAATTTTCAGTGAAATTTGAAATTTTCACTAAAAGTTGAAATTTTCACTAAAAATTGAAATTTTCACTATAAGTTGAAATTTTCACTAAAAGTTGAGATTTTCACTACAAGTTGATATTTTCTTCATTTCTAGTTCAGTTCTAGTTCAGTTGTAGTTCAGTTCTAGTTCAGTTCTAGTTCAGTTCTAGTTCAGTTCTAGTTCTAGTTCAGTTCTAGTTCAGTTCTAGTTCAGTGCTAGTTCAGTTCTAGTTCAGTTCTAGTTCAGTTCTAGTTCAGTTCTAGTTCAGTTCTAGTTCAGTTCTGTTCTAGTTCAGTTCTAGTTCAGTTCTAGTCAGTTCTAGTTCAGTTTTCAGTTCTAGTTCAGTTCTAGTTCAGTTCTAGTTCAGTTCTAGTTCAGTTCTAGTTCAGTTCTAGTTCAGTTCTAGTTCAGTTCTAGTTCAGTTCTAGTCCGGTTCTGTTATTTTTTCGCCAAAAATTTCACCAATAATTAATATTTTCACTAAAAGTCCAATTTTCACTAAAAATTAAAATTTTCACTAAAAATTTAAATTTTCAGTGAAATTTGAAATTTTCACTAAAAGTTGAAATTTTCACTAAAAATTGAAATTTTCACTATAAGTTGAAATTTTCACTAAAAGTTGAGATTTTCACTACAAGTTGATATTTTCACTAAAATTTGAAATTTTCACTAAAAGTGGAAATTTTCATTAAAAATTTAATTTTCACTAAAAATTTAAGTTTTCACTAAAAACTTAAATTTTTACTTAAAATTAAATTTTAAAAAAATCAAAATTTCACTAAAGATTAAATGTTTTTGAGAAATATTTATGATTTTTAAAAAGAATTAGTTTTTTTTTAGGATTTTTAAAAGTTAGATTTTGTGTCTTGTGAGAGAGGAACCGTTACTAAAGTAGTCACTAGTTTTGAATTTTGATTGTTTATATAAAAGATTATTAGTTTATTTATACTTTTTATGAAAATATTTATAATTTGTTTTATTTATTTTTATTTAATTTTCCTTTTTTTGTTTTAATTTAATTAATTAACTTTTTTTTATTTATTAGAACTTTTCTTCTGAATTTCTTTTCTTTCCCCCCATAAAGGTGCTGCTGGTTGCCCCATATGTCCTATGCCACCACCGATGAACCAATAAATAAAACCAATAACAATTTTTTTATATATAAAATGAATATAAAATGGTAAGTTTTGTTAAATTTTTTAATTTATAGAAAAATAAATAATTTTTTTTTTTTTTCAAATTTCTTTTTATCTAGTTAATGAACAAAAAAAAATATATGCCAAATTGATGTTTTTATTTAAAAGAAAAAAGTTATATATTAAATTAAAAAATAAAACAAAAAACATAAAATAAGGTTGTGGAGTAAAATGTTTTTAAACGCATAAATTGTGTAAACATAATAATGAAATGTTAAATGAAGGATTTTCTTTTTTTTTCGATTTAACGCTTTAAATCCAACAAATAATAATCTGCAGGCGGACCTTTTTGTCCTCAGACAATTTTCTATTTACTTTAAATGGATCTTATATTTACTACTTTATACTCTCTACTACTCTTATATAGTTATATACTGTTTATATTAAGAATTTAATTTCTTTTTTTGGGATATTATCATGTAAAATATTTAATTACTTTTATTAGTTTTAAGTTTTAACTGGAAAAAATTTAAAAAAAAAAAATAATATACAGCCAAATTTACAAAAAAAAAATCAAACTAAAACCAACAAAAAATACTACTTAAAATTTACCAAGAAAAAAACTATAAAAAGACTTACAAAATATGTACAATTTTTTATTATTATTAATTATAATGAATTCTTAAAACCAACTCTCTATTTTTTTGAAAACCTCTAAAAAAACTTTAATAAAAATTTGAATTTTTTTAATAAATTATAAAAAAATAACTCGAATCATCAGGCTATATATATACATATATTTATAATAACTGTGTAAACTAAAGACAAGTATTAATTTAAGTTTTTCTCCTTCCCCTTAAAAAAAACACATAATGAAAATGAAAGCAATTTTCCAAATATTCAAAACAAATACATAATATAGTAGAATTATTTATAAAACATAAAAAAAGTATTTATAATACAAATCAAACACACATTTTGTATATTACTTACACTTCTCTTACATTTAATTTTGTTTCACACCAGGCCTGGAAAATGGAAATTTTGATATACATATTTACTAACTATTAAACCAAAAATATAACTTTTTGGGTTTTGAAGTACTAAACTAATTTGTCGTTAAACCATGGACTTACTATAGACTGTAGAGTAGACTACAAAATAGACTATTCACTAGACTACAGACTAGGCTATAGACTAGGCTATAAACTAGACTAAAGACTAGACTATAGGCTAGACTACAGACTAGACTATAGACTACACTATAAACTAGACTATAGACTAGGCTATTGATTGTACTATTGACAAGACTGTAGAATATACTATAGACTAGAATATAGACTAGTCTACAGACTAAACTAAAAACTAAACTATAGACTAGGCTATTGACTAGACTATAGACTAAACTATGGTCTTGATTATAGACTACACTATAGGTTAGACTATAGTCAGACTATAGGCTAAACTATATAATAGACTATAGACTCGACTATAGAATACACTATAGACTAGACTATAGTATAGACTATAGACTAGACTATAGAGTAGACTATAGAATAGACTATAGACTAGACTATAGAGTAGACTATAGAATAGACTATAGACTAGACTATAATATAGACTATAGACTAGACTATATAGTATACTATAGACTAGACTATAGAGTATACTATAGACTAGACTATAGAGTAGACTATAGAATAGACTATAGACTAGACTATAGTATAGACTAAAGACTAGACTATAGTATAGACTACAGACTAGACTATAGAATAGACTATAGACTAGACTAGACTATAGTATAAACTATAGACTAGACTATAGTATAGATATAGTATAGACTATAGACTAGATTATAGACTAGACTATAGACTAGACTATAGACTAGACTATAGACTAGACTATAGACTAGACTATAGACTAGACTATAGACTAGACTATAGACTAGACTATAGACTAGACTATAGACTAGACTATAGACTAGACTATAGACTAGACTATAGACTAGACTATAGACTAGACTATAGACTAGACTATAGACTAGACTATAGACTAGACTATAGACTAGACTATAGACTAGACTATAGACTAGACTATAGACTAGACTATAGACTAGACTATAGACTAGACTATAGACTAGACTATAGACTAGACTATAGACTAGACTATAGACTAGACTATAGACTAGACTATAGACTAGACTATAGACTAGACTATAGACTAGACTATAGACTAGACTATAGACTAGACTATAGACTAGACTATAGACTAGACTATAGACCTAGACTATAGACTAGACTATAGACTAGACTATAGACTAGACTATAGACTAGACTATAGACTATAGACTAGACACTATAGACTAGACTATAGACTAGACTATAGACTAGACTATAGACTAGACTATAGACTAGACTATAGACTAGACTATAGACTAGACTATATACATACTATAGACTAGACTGTAGACTAGAGGATATAGTAGACTATAGACTAGAGTATAGAGTAGACTATAGACTAGACTATAGACTAGACTATAGACTAGACTATAGACTAGACTATAGACTAGACTATAGACTAGACTATAGACTAGACTATAGACTAGACTATAGACTAGACTTTAGACTAGACTATAGACTAGACTATTAGCTAGACTATAGACTCGACTATAGACTAGACTATAGACTAGACTATAGACTAGACTATAGACTAGACTATAGACTAGACTATAAGACTAGACTATAGACTAGACTAAGACTAGACTATAGACTATACTATAGACTAGACTATAGAGTAATCTATAGACTAGACTAGGTACTAAAAAAGCCGTGGATATCAAAAAGTACTAAATTTTCCATGCCTATTTCACACTCAAAGTCACTTTTAAATATTATTGAACAAATTTTGTATAATTTATTTAATTAAGCTGCATTTCATTTACCCACATACATCCATTTCCTTCATCAACTTTCTCAACCCATAACGTAAATATATTTGAAATATTTTGCTATTTTTTTTGTATTTATATATCACTCTTACATATAAAATTTCTTAGTTAAGAGGGACCCATAATAACAATTAATTTTTACTCATAAGTTTTATTCAGCTTTTTCTCTTTGTATAAATTTAAAAATATATATCAAATGAATAATAAATATTTACTTTTATAATATTAAAAAAGAAAACTTTAATTAAAACAAGTTATATGGAAGGATAATGAAAATTATGAATTATCTCTTTAGTTTAATTAAAAACATTTTGCAAAAAAAACGGCAGCTTAAAAGAGGTTAAAATTATTAATTGGTTTATAAATAGCAAAGAAGTATAAAAAACATTTCATCAAACTTTGTACGTAAGGAAAATTAGTGTTTTGAAATATGTTCTAAAGTTTGCTGTAATGATTTTTGCAGTTTCAAAATTTATAAAAAAAAATATATTTTCATTATCATTCTTTGTACTAGTTCAGTTTGATATATTAATATAATTCTTTATTTCTAGAAAATTAACTTAAATTTTTTTTAACTAAAAGATGTAATTATTAAAGTTATTTTTATTTAATCTGTAGTGTAGTCTACAGTTTTCTATATATTTTATAGTCTAGTCCATAGTTTTGACTATAGTCTAAAGTTTAAACTCATTTAAATATAGTCCAGACTGTAGTCAGGTCTGGACTATATTTTGACTATAGTCTTGACTATGGTTTGACTATAGACTGGACTATAGTCTGGAGTATAGTATTGTCTATAGTTTGACAAGACTCTTAACTATAGTTTGACTATAGTCTGGACTATAGTTTGACTATAGTGTGGACTATAGTTTGACTATAATCTGGACTATAGTTTGACTATAGTATATGCTATAGATTGACTATAGTCTGGACTATAGTTTAACTATAGTCTGGACTATAGTTTAACTATAGTCTGGACTATAGTTTAACTACAGTCTGGAGTATAGTCTGGAATATAGTTTAACTATAGTCTGAAGTATAGCCTGGACTATAGGCCGACTATAGTCCTTTTACTTTTCCTTGAAAGTAAACAGTTTTAGATCAAACACTTTTTTCCAAATATAACTCTAATAATTACGTCTTTTTGTAAAGTTTTATTTAAAATAATTAAACTACAAAACAAGAAAAGGAATTATAATATTTAGAACCTTTTTCAAACTTAAAATTCCACCTGAAATAGAAAAAAATTAACCTTTTAAGAAGAGTCTTGGTAAAACAAACCCTTTCTTAAACAAATTTCTTAATTTTGTTATTGAAAGAGGAACTAAAGCGTTACAAATAATAGGGAAATGAAATGTTAAGGACAAATTAAGAAATTCAAAACATAATTAAAATAAATTTTAAACAAAATACAGCCAAAAAGAGTTATATATAAAGTTTTAACGAAATATTAAAAAAAAAAATTATATAAAAAAGTTAAACAAAAATGTTATAAAATGTACATTTACACCCCTTCCCCCCCAAAAAATACATTTAATTTTTATATAAATAAATATATTTATTAAATATTTATAAAAAAAAATAAACAAAATATGAACAAAATAAATGTAAAAAATTTATATATAAACAATAAAAGGTTTTCAATAATGTTTTTTCTTTTTAATAATTAATAAATAAATAATTTTATAAATAAAAATATCAGAAAAAGAATAAAAGTTTTTTTTTTTAACTATAAAGGAATTGAATTCTTTATCATTTAAATAAGAAACAAATATCATTTACATAAAATTTTTTTAACATAATTTAGTCATAATTAGTTTAGTTTATTAACAAATAAATTATTAATTTTCATAAAATTCATTCACTCTCTACAAACAAAATTGTATATTTTCTAACATTAACAAATCAAATTATAATTTAAATATTATTTACTTAGTTAATAATGTAAATTTTATAAATATTTCCTAAAATAAGTTAAACTCTTTATATATAATAAAACAGCTTTTTTAAAATATTTTTATTAAAATATTATTTTCTCTCCTCCCCCTTAGAGTATAAAAAGCTGCCAAAATCTTCTTTCTTTTTAATAACATAAATTATTCATAAAATAAAAAAAAGAAACAACAAAAAAAATAAATTTATTAATGTTATTTATGCATGTTAATGGTATTAAAATTGAAACCAACAAATAAACTCCATTACATAAAAGAAAAATTTATTCATACTCTGTTTAAATATAAATAATTGTATTTAATAATTATTCAAAACAAAAAAAGAAATAATCTTATATTTTTAATAAAAAAACAAATTGTATTTAAAACTGAAACAAAACAAAAGATATTGATGGTCAAATAAACAAAACAAGTTGTAGTAAAAATTATAAAATATTTATAAAAAAAAATTAATAAAAAATTGTGTTTTATTTGCTTTAAAAAAGATATATTTTATAGGTAATTTCCATTTCTATTTTGCTTAATTATGGCAACACTTGTGTAACATTTACTTAGTTATCTTCAAGTTTAACTTAACGTTATACAAACTATTGCCTACCTTTAGGTGTTGGCATATAAAATATAAACAACTTACAAGGTGACTCAAAGAAACATTCACAATAACTTTTCTGCAGAAAAACAAAGTTATCATTAAATTGTTTAAAAAAAATCAAAGTTCTAGAATCTAGATCAAGAACTGAACAAGAAATGGACTGGAACTGAACTAGAGTTGAATTAGAAATGATCTAGAACTGAATTAGAAATGAACTAGAAATGAATTAGAACTGAACTAGAACTAGAGCAGAATTGAACAAGAAGTGAACTAAAACCGAATTAAAACTAAACTGGATGTGAAGTAGAACTGAACTAGAATTAAACTAGAACTAGAATAGAGCTGAACTAGAATTAAACTAGAACTGGACTAGAGCTGAACTATAACAGAACTAGAACTCAATTAGAACAGAACCAGTACTCAACTACAACTGAGCAAGAACTAAACTAGAACCGAACTAGAACTGAACTAAAACGGAACCAGAACTAAACTAGAACAGATCTAGAACTCAATTAGAACTGAGCTAGAACTAAACTAGAACTGAACTAGACATAAACTAGAACTGAACTAAAACTGAACTAGAATTAAACTATAACTGAACTAGAATTAAACAAGAACTGGACTAAAACAGAACTAGAACTGAGCTAGATCTCAACCAGAACTAAACTCGAAATGAATTAGAACTGAATTAGAAATGAACTAGAACTGACCTAAAACGGAACTAGAACTTAACTTGAACCGGACTAGAGCTGATATAGAACTGAAATA